ATATCTTGAAAAAGATCAATTAGCGATTTCATTGAGATTATCATTCCTTTCTGGAAAATTTGGAGGGCATTTTTTCCACTTGCTCTCATTGTTGAGATTATTTTTATCATTTTATTTAAATGTTCTTCTTGTAATTCCAAGTCTACACCATATCCATTTTTGCTTGGAACAGAACCTTTTGGTGCATAGCTATTAAAAATGTCGAACCACATATTTATATCTTTAATATAAGTTTCATTGATGATAATAATTGATTCATAATAAACGTTTCATTGATATTCACATTCAATTCTTTCCATAAACTTATGTTACTGCAACTACAGTCACTGACGCAAGCTACTACATTATACGATAGAATATTTTGTTATTTTTATCTACATTTCTTTACAAAGCTATATTTAATTATAATTTTCTTGAAAAGTATATTCATACAATTGAAGAATATTTTGTACCAGGTATGTATATCAACCACACATTTTATTTTACCAAGTAAGTTTTTATTATTTTATTTTTAATTTTAGCCCTTATATTGCGGCTAGTGATTCAGAATGTAATTGATATAAAAAATACATTTAGTGAAGTTTACGGTTTTTAGTGGCTTATCGAACAAACGAATATGAATGGACCCTAGACCAGGGGTGGCCACCAGTTTTTGCTCCCGGGCCGAATTGGAAAGAAAATTTTTATCACGGGCCGAACCAGAGGCTGCCCTAGTAAGATTCTGAAGTGGTGCGAGATCTCATTGTGGTATCACTCCGTAGAGACTAAATTGTACAGTACATAGAGATTACAGATACATTTTTCACATTATCATGCATTATCGAAATTCTACGCTGTGCTTAACATATTGGTAATGGAGTGTTAACTCCAAATGCACAGTGAGTCCTTGACCTTTTTTTATGGCATGAGAATTCTTCGTAGAGCTATTCCGACTTGAGTAGCTGATATTGAAAGATTAATGGCGGGCCGCATAAATTCATTAGACGGGTCAGATCCGGCCCGCAGGCCTTATGTTGGCCATGCCTGCCCGAGACCATCACTGACACGCAATTAAACTGATCACCCCTGGAACTCGGCTTCTTACAGAAACACAGCTTCCCTATCATCAAATGTCATGGCACACCACTGTTATTTATAAAAGAAAAATTTTTCACTCAGAAAACTCCCTCGGAAAAAAATGTCTGAAGTCAACATTGTGTTATTTTAAAATTGACTGGGCTTCATGGAGCTATAACGCATCACTGATGAAACTCACCTCTGGGTTTAGACATGCTAAGAAAACCCGAAAAACTAACTAGTCAGCCTGTCGATCGAGCTCAAACCAAAGACCAACTGCCAGTGATGACAGTGACGCATGGCCCACCAGTGGCCAAGCAGTTCGACCCAGATAAAATAGTATTGTTTTAAACACCAGACGGTGAGCATCCCGTGAAAATGTGAATTACGAAATTCACAGTAACTTATAATACGAGCTGTTTGTGAATCTGGCCCAGGATTGGCTGTGATTCTGAAGTAAAGCAGGACATCAGGATTACACAAAATTTATTGTACAAAAAAAACTTGTAATTTTCTAATTAAATTACAAGATTTTTTTTTGGTACAGTAAATTAGCAATCATTGCACAAGATAGTGGTCCAACCACTTATATTTAATCCAAATTACATAATTGAGTTATTAATAATTATGCATTAATATTCTGGTTTTAGAACTTTGAAATTATACATTTGAATTCCCAATAAATTATTACTTTGCTTCAGAAAAAAGAAAAATGTTCTAAAAAAATACTTTAAATTTTACAGAATAACTATCAATAATAATTTAAAAAGTAGTGAAACAAAATTAGTCAACAAGACTATCATAAAATATTTTATTAAACATTTTAACATGTTTTCTATTAATACTGGAATTCTAAATATAAAATAAAATGCAAAATTTAGTGGAAACAAATCGTAAGTTTATATACTAAATATTAGATAAGTAGATAAATATGAGATCTATTTTGGACTTTTTAGCTTTTAGCTTAAAGTTCATCCAATTTCTCTTATATTTCAGAATATTTTAAATTTTCTATTCCATTTGTTCAAAACCACTATCAATATCTTTTATTCTCACTGATTCTTCGATTAATGGAAAATGTGATGAATGCAGTTCTACTGCATCACTTGTTGACATTTCTGATGAGAGAGACATCCAAGAACAACTACACATAGTTGATAAGTCATCCATCTGAGCTGAAATTGGTTTAAATTCTTCAATTTCATGTCTATCAGATAAATCTTCTTTAAGCTCTTTAACTGGAGTGGCTTTGCCACATATACATTGAACGGCGGGAGATTTCGAACGCCAGAATTGCAACTCGGTTTTGCAATGGCTTAATTCTCGCACCACTGAATTCAGTTTGTGAGACATGTCTTGTAATTTTGCATCATATCTTTCCAGTTTGATTTTAAGCTCAATCATTTGTTTTTGTTGTTTAGTCATATGCTGTTGGGCTGATCTCAATTTTTTCTTTAACAATGCTGCTTGTCTGTTATTTCTAAAAATATATACATATAATTGCATTAATTCTGTGACAATTTTAATTTACCAATATACATATATTTATTTTGAATTAAAATATGCATTTTGTTTTAAATAAAAATTAAATTCTAATGCAGTAGAATCCTGATTATCTGAGGTAACATGGACTGATGCTGCCTTAAATGGCCTTGACCATTTTGGATGAAAAATTATGAATAAGTTATGTTTTATTGTGTCACTTTTAAATCACTTTTTATACCTTATGGAATTTAATTATATATAAAAACTATTTTTACAGCTTGTACATACAATAGTTTTACTTTGTAATACATGTTATCATTCTAAACTTTTTTTAAAAAGTCCTTCAGAGTTTTTGTTTTATAGCAGTTTCACTCTTCTTTTCTGCAAAGTCATTACAGTATCATTTTCAGGGGCAAAATCAATTCAGCATCATCCATTCACTCAGTATAATCAAAGTACTACAGCGTTTATGCACTTCATGCATTCATGGCAAAGCTTTCAAAAAATTATAAGAATATTAGTATATTCACTTAAAGGTTTGCCTCAGATAACACACAACCTCAGTTAATTGGAATCTATTGTATTTTAATAAGAATTAAATTAGAAAACATCACTTTTTAATGTATGATATAAATGATTTACTTTATATTCAATTATAGATAGAAACTTTGCAGGTTGACCTGAGACAGCAATGACAAAAATTTTTTTTACCTTTAAGTAGCTATTTTGTACAGTATTTTCTGCTTCACTTTTTATAATTACATCTACAATAAATTGCTAACAGAAATATTAATAAGATGAAAGAGAAGAAGGAAAAACAATAAAACAATATCTTGCAAACTGGGTTAAGTGTCAATTTTCTTAGGCAAATTTAGAGGTGCAAGATATATGATGGTTATATTTCCATATGAAAGTTATATTTCCATTCTAGTAATTTCTGCAAGATCTGCACTGGTGGGGGTTTATATGCAAGAAACTAGAGTAATTTTTCTTATCTAGAATTCTATACCTGTTTTTTATTTAGCTAATTTTCAAAATTTTTTATCCTTGATCTTTAATTGCATTATAAACTTCTTCAATTGAGTTTATCATATGATTGACTAACTCTGAATGACACTGCTTTTCATTGGAAATATGTTATGAACATTTTAGTTACTTATTTAAATTCGTTATCACCCTCATTTTAGATAATACCAATTGATACTTCAGTTTGAATGGCCAAAAACCAAAATTTGAACTAATTCATTGGTTTCTGATGATTGATTTATATTTACAATTAAAATCATTTATATCCTGAAAATAATAATCTTTGAAAATAGTAATACGGTAGAGCATCAATTATCCGAATAAATTTGGGACTGAGGTTGTTCGGATAACCGATTAGGTACAAAAAATATATTAACCTATCCCATATTGAAATTAGTTCAAATCCTGGCACATCCTTAAGTACTCTCTCATAGTTGCGACATGTTGCCAGCTAAAACATGCACACCAACAAAAATAATAATGGAGTAGCCCAAGACTGCAGCGCTATGGCACTAGCGGAAATTTAAATTTGCCGACTGGAAAGCTTTCAGTTGATCAACATTCGGATAATTGATGCTCTACTGTATTCTCAAAGTTAAAACTAGAATTTCATTTTAAAGGTATTAATTATTCTATGAAGAAATCTGTTTTTTCATTCTTTTTTTTTTTTGAATGTGATTTGAAACTTTTTTGAGGACCATCTTATAAAGGAAGAGATCAACAACTACTGTTTTGATTAAACTTCATTCCCTTGCCTATAACAAATTTCCTATCTATCTGACCAGTGAGACTGAAGAATAACTGAACTGCATATTATAAATTATTTGTACTGTACCTAAGGACTCCATAACTTTGATTGTTAAATCTACAGGGTGATTCAAAAGTCACAGAAATTTTAAAAAATTAATAACTCACAAACTATTTACAGTAAGATGTGGTTTTCACAGAATGCTTAGAAAGAAGTGGGATTTTTTTTTATATGTAATAAAAATTTTAGTACCAAAATAGTTACATTTCTTGCCATTAGATGGCATCTGATAAGATTATATAATTTGTGTAGTTGTTACTAGAGCTTACACTAAGAACATTTTTATTTTTTTATTCTTTGGTATTATTGTTTTTTAATCATTTTAACAAATTCACAAATGTTCAATGTGGTACCCATCATTCATGAGCACAGCTGTTAGACGAAGTTTGACACTATGAACATCATTAAAGAGCATTTCAGTTGGTATTACTGAAACTTCACATTGGATAGAGTTCTTCAACATGGTTAATGAAGTTATCTGATGTCTTCATTTTTGGGCACCTTTGACTTCAAAGTAGCCCCATAACCAAAAGTCACATGGTGAAAAGTCTGGAGACCTTGAAGGCAACTCATTTAGAAAAAAGCAACTGAGAACATGGCTCTTTCCAAAGGTTGTCATAAGGGTTGTTTGACAGAGTAGCAATGTGTGGACGTGCTTCATCTTGAAAATACAGTTTTCTACAGCGCCATCTAATGGCAAGAAATGTAACTATTTTGGTACTAAAATTTTTATTACACATAAAAATCCTGCTTCTTTCTAAGCATTTCTGGGAAACTGCATCATCATCTTACTGTAAATAATTTGTGAGTTATTAATTTTTTTAATTTCTGTGACTTTTGGATCACCCTGTACAAATTTAACACTGTTGATAAAGCTCTAGGAGTCACAAATTATCTTGAAAAAAAAAATTTCTATGATGATCATATCAAAACCAAAGGCAAAATCATTTATTTGATTTTGATCTGCCAATACATACAATACAATACAATACATACATTGCCCATTTGTAAAAAACTTTTACAGTAAGATGAAGTATTTATCTTTTAAACTATGAAGAAATTATAAAACAAAATGTAAGACAAAAGGTCTCAGCAGTGAATAACTAATTCATTATTTGAAAAAATATGCCAAAATTAATGTAATATACTATAGTGGCTATACTATATTATATCATTAGAAGCATAATCATAAAACAGATCAGTATTTAGAAAACAACAATATGTTTTATAATCTAGCTTCTCATAATATAACTTATTTCTAAAAGAAATGAAATAAGTGTTTTTATGAGAGAAAGTTTTGAGAACAAAATCATTTAATTACCTTTTTGTATTTGAATGTAATTTCATCAATTGTTTTTTCATTGTAGGATAATCCAAAATTGATGCATCACTGGAACTTGTACTACTATCTTCATTTAACAATTTTTGGTTGTTAGTGAAGTGATTCTTTGGATCTAAAAGTTATTATTATTTATAATTTTTATTTTAAAATTATCATCATCTATATATCTATAAAATATATGTTAATATATAGAAAAAAACACATAGTAAAACCCCAATCATCTGAGATAATATGGACCAAATTATGTTGAATAACTGAAAACTCCAACAGATTAAAAATTAGGAAGATAAAAGTGATATGTTATAAATCTTTTATGATTTTTTATACCTTATATATAAGAACAACAGTTTTTACATCATTTATTATACAGCTAATTTGTACAAGTTTTAAGAATAAAAATGTATATTATTCAATATGAATGGTTTGTCTCAAAGTTAAATGATAAAAGGTAACAGAAACAAATAACTTCGTAATAATTGTTATTGTTTAAACTTTCTTTAAAAAGCACTTTAGAGATTTTTGTTTTATATTGGTTCCTCCATAATGTTTCTCAGATGGCTCATTTTTCATGAGCAGTCTGTCCCAGATATAGACAGATTCTCACTAGACTATCTGACCCTGACTCAAAGGTTGAACAGCAAACAGTGTATACCTGCAAACTAAGCAGTTCAGTCTCCAAATGGCATAAATCTTAACCAATGAGATACACTCACATATAATGTCTTACATCCTCTATTAACATTCTGTTAAAATTCTCTGTTTTTATTTTTAATAAAGTAAAAATTACATTACAGATAGATACTAGTCCTATCTTCATTGCTTGCCATGTCCAATCACCAGAAACAACTATTTTCCATTGCAGAGAGAACCTTTCTTTACAGGCTATGCCTCTGCACAAATAATTTCTTTGTAAAAAGGGCTGGCAGAATTACAGCATAAGCACAATTATTCCAGATATTACAAGTTCTGACAAGTAAAGAATTTTCAGAGTCCTGTCACAAATAGGCTACATATTGATTATTGACAATCTGACATGCCATAATAAGCAAAAATTTAAAAAAGCAATAAGCAGGCTTAAAATTATTAAATACAAATGTATTCTGACAGTTTATGGGGTTAAATTACTCCAGCAAGTACCATTTAATGCACAAAGATACAAAATTTAAGTGAGATAGAACAAGTACAATTTGAATTTATGAATTAAAAAAACCAGATTGAAAATATTTTTGTACATTAAATAGTACTTGTTGGAGTAATTTAAAAATGTAGATTTATATCTTTTCTTGTTTTTATTTCAATTTTTATAAGACTTTGTCGTCTTATAAAAATTGCAATGAAATTTCATAAAAATTACGCGACCTAAGGAGCCAGTTTATGCAGGAAGTGAACATAATGAAATTAAAGAAAAGTGGTTTTGGGACAAATGAAGTTTTTATATCTACTTGGCCATATATTTCTGCAGCTGTATTATACCACAGACATCTGAATAGTTTTTAAATTGTTGTGAATCTTCAAATTTTAGATCATTGAGTAGATTATTATATGCCTCCAAAATTTTCCCTTCTTAATATCCATTCCTTCCCAACATGCTCAATTTCTCTGTTTTCTATTGTACAGTTGTCCCTTGATAATCCGACAGGTATGGGACCAAAGGTGTGTCAGATTACCAAAAGTGTCCGGATTACTGAAAATAATTACATATTTCGCATTGTTTTGCTAGCAGTAACTTACAATATTCTCTACTCCAACTGTTCGAACAGAACTGCTCACATAAAACACACGAAATGTGTGTCATCGAGTAAGAATTGGATGGGGAGATTCACATCGCAACATGCTTATGTGCAAGCAGACACGTAACGGGGACGGGTACCTTGACGGGAGGTGCGTCGGACTACTGAGCATGTCGGATTAAAAAACGTCAGACTATAGAGGGACAACTGTAATTGTCACTTAGAGCTAACAATACTGCTGTAATAGGGACATGTCTTACTGGTGCCATGTTAGGTATTATAGTGGAAAAAAAGGGCTCAACACTTGACAAACAACAATGTCATAAGTTTAAGTTGCTGACAGTGTAAACAGTTTTGTGAGAACTTAGGAAAGGCAGAACTTGCATAAGATTTGTCACAAGTAAACTCACAAGTTATATACTCCCTTAGAATAAAGTTCATCTGTTTGTATAAAGATGTTATAGTTTTGTTTTTAAACTGACATATAAAATCAGAGCAACTTTTAAGTTTTATATGTTGGTTTCTTGTGATTGTGTGATTCAGATAATTTTTGTGATTTTTCTAATTCATAATTTATTTTTAATATTGTATTTTAATTCAATACCTTAAAAATGTTTAATACTTACAAATTTGTTAAGTTATTAAAATGAAAATGCTTTATATGACAACAAAAAGTAAGAGAGCTTGCCAAGTTTATTTTAATATTATATTTTAATTGTGTGCTTGAAATTATAATTTATATAATAAGAAGCTCTTTTATTTTAATTAATTGCATTTCAAGCTTTGCTTTATTTTAGCCTTCTTTTATTTGACAAATAAAATATAGAACATTACCATTGTTCAAAATGGCTTTAATAATCTACTTATATAAGCCATTGATCCCACCGTTTATATATCTGTAATCTGTCACAAAATGCCTAGAATGCCCAGTAGGGGCATCCCTAGCAATGATTTTCAGCTATACACCAACCAAAGCCAATTATTATACTAATTCTTAGTATTATAACCGTTTCTAGCCCGATAATATTTGGCTTTGGCTGGTGTATAGCTTTAAACTATTGGGTGTAGTAATGATGTTTGATTTTCGGCTATTATTTAAATTAACAGTATAATTTATTTATAACAGTATAATTCAGTATATTATTATTTTTATTAGGAATTTATTATTTATACCATGGAATGACACCGCTGCTGCTAGAATTCCCACTAGGGGGTGTCCCGGGCTATCTCATAATTTATACGAGGGTCATTCTAAAAGAAAAGAACGTTTTGATCTGACAAGCCGTGCAGTTCTCCCATCACCCTCCACTGCCATGTCATGGACCTTCCCATGTTTTTGTGTCAGTCTGATGTTAACAGCGATCATTTACTGTTTACAGTGTGACAAAATTAAAGATCCCACCAAGTGTGAGGTTCGTAGTGTAATACACTTTTTGAATGTGAAAAAAGTGTGCCCTATCAAAATTTACAAATAGATAACCAAGGTTTATGTGATGAATGAAGCTTCAGTTCGAAACAAATGGCGGGGATTGTTGTCCAGAGGCATTGTGCTTCTTCAAGATAACGCACGTCCGCATGCTGCTGTATTGACGAAGAACTTGCTTCAGCAGTTTAAGTGGGAAGTTTTTGAACATCCTTCTTACAGCCCGGACTAGGCTCGGAGTGATTCTCGAAGTATTTCCCAAAATTGAAGGATTTTTTAGCTGGGAATCACTATGGAAGTGACAACGAACTGAAAGAGGCTGTTAATGACTGGTTCAAGAATTTGGTGGTAACTGAGTGTACAGAAGGCATAGAAAAGCTGATGATACACTATGACAAATGTTTAAATTTGTATGGCAACTATGTAGAAATATAGCTAAGGTATCATATGTGTTGTAAAATAAGTTTTGTTTCATTATCTTAAATAAAAATATTTAGAGAAACAAACATTCTTTACTTTTAGAATGACCCTCGTATATCATAACTTGGTAATTAAAATACTAATTTAAATTTAAAGACTAATTTAAATACTATTTCAATTAATTTTTATATATATTATTTTTAGGCATTTTGATCAAAATGCCTAAAAATAATATATATAAAAATTCAAATTGTACTATTAAGCATAATAGAGTCAAAAAATAAACCAAATGTTGTAATGTGTTGTAAACATGCACACTTTCAAACATATCAATACCTTTTGAACACAGTAAATAGCTGTATTAAAATAGATTAGAATGTAAAACATCAAAGTATTGGAGTAGTAGTATGCTATCAGAATTCTAAAATAATACATCACAAGCAGTAAATCAGCATTAAATTTTATATCAAACTTGATAAAATCTATTAAATAAATAAAAAACAACTAGTACTAAATAAATTAATAAAAAACTATTAATACTAAATAAGTAAATAAAAAATACGAAGCATAAAATTGCTAAGTGAAACTTATCACACAGGAACACCATTACACAAGTAAAATAGACTTTAATTTGTACAAGGAGTGGATATCCATTTTGGGCAGTTTTCTCCTCTTCAGTCCATATTGTACAATTGTTAAAACTGAAATGATATTTACATGTGACTAAATAACAAAGTATTTAAAACAACAGGGTAAAAAGGGGCGAAAACCAGTAAAACTGTAAAGCTTAAAAATTAAAACTTACTAAAACTTTTAAGCTTTACAGTGTTACTAGTTTTATCCCCTTTTTACCCTGTTGTTTTAAATACTTTGTAAATGCCAATTTCAAGGCCCACCAGTGACCAAGCAGTTTCATTCCCTGAACACTAGGAGTTCAGTCATGGGTTCGCACCTTGCCAGGATAGGCCAGCCACATGGAGTTTCACGGGTTTTCTCCACGTGTGTAATGCCTGAATAGGGGGCCACTTGCCTTTAAAATGACCTCCCAGAAGGCATCCACCTAGTGTTGTGTAGTGACTTAACAAATCAAAACCAATTTCAACAAAATTTTGTGGATGTGGAGTGTTTATTTGTACTGAAATGCTAACAAAGCTACAGGACCCGCTATTCAGGAAGTCTTGAGAAAATTAAGATAAAAGTTTTTCTACAATACCATTAATGATAAAATTAAATTTTAAAAAATACTTCACATATAGGATTGAACAAAAAAAAACCTTTGCTTGTGATGCCTTAACTAATCACACCATACCACTACTTCATAAATTGGTCTTCTGTATTGGTATTAATAATTGAAGAAATATTTTATCTTAATTTTATCGAGACTTCCTGAATAGTGAGTCCTGCAGCTTTGTTAGAGTTTAAGTACAAGTAAATACTCCACATCCACAAAATTTTGTTGAAATTGCTGATCAGAGACTTTTTATCTGCTATTGACTCACAAGGGGGAACCCCTTGTGAGTCAATAGCAGATAAAAAGTCTCAACACATCCTGATTTTTTTAAGCCTAATATCCTGTTATGCCAATCTAGTTCAGTTTAAATTCTTGTTACGAAAAGATTGATTTTAAAAATACTATTAACTCATTATTTTTTGCCAATATTTATTAATATTTTTGATAATTATATCCACATTCCTCCTTTCACAATTTTTATCTACTACTTTTAAAATATTGTACTTTTCAATAAAATTCATAAATACTTTCTCTCTAATAATTTCTATTATTCAATTATGATTTAGGAACGTTTAATTTTTATTTAAAATTCTTTTACAATCTTATTTTTTTATTACAGTAGAGTGTCGTTTATCTGAATTAATTGGGGACTGGGGTTGTTTGGATAACTTATTTTTCGGATAACTGATTATGTATGAAAAAATATATTAACCTATCCCATGTTGAAATTTTTCTTCGTTGCGTACTGCTTTGCATTGAATTTTCGTTGATGTCAAGCCTAACGTAAACTTTTTAAAATAATAATCGTGACTATTATATCGTTAAAAATTATTTCTTTATTTTGTACAAACAAAATAAATATATTGAAAAATATAAAAACAATAAAAAATTATACTNGAAATAAAACTCATATTTAATCACTGAGCTTTCTACTGCTCCTCTGAAAGCCTCCAGTGCCCACAAGAGAGCGTTAACGCCCACTTTGAGAAAGGATGCTTTACTGTATTTTGTTTTATCCACTAGAGTTCAATTGTTGCTTTGTATATCCCATGTTCCTTGTTATATTTTGTTTTAAATATGTTATTTTAAATAATAAAATGAATAATAATTGAAGAAATGAAATAATGATACATAAAATTTGAACATACATCATCAGTAAATTTCACATTAATATACCTAACCACTCAAATACAAACTGAATTGTTACTAAAGAACACGCAACTCAGTCTCAATTAGGAAACTCATTCCAACTTCACACAATATTAAATAAATACAAGCCTAAACAGGTGTATGCTTAAAAAAATAACTGTTCTGAAAGAGTTAAAGACCATAAATCAACAGATGATCCATAATTGGGAAGGTCTATTTTAGCAAGAAACAAATGATTTCTCAAGTTCACAGAACAAAAAAGACTATAGACAATCATTAGATGATCTGGTCAACATTTTGGGAGTTTTCACACAGCTCTGTACATGCCATTTTCTGACAAGCAAAAAGCTGGATCCTCCATTTCCCATCATCAAAATGTTCTGGTACATCATGTTCACCTAATTAGTGATTATCTGGCAAAACAACAGATAACTATACTTTCACAGACTTTCATGTCTTCACAAAAATGAAAGTTATAATGAAGGATCATAGATTCAAATCAGCAGATGATGCTATAATCATTGAATTCAAGTTAACACAGAATGATCTGCAAGACTGTTTTAATAAGGTAGGCCTATGTCAACAGAAGTGTGTAGCTACAGAAGGTATGTATTTTGAAGGTGGTCTTTTGTAAATACTTGTAAACATTTAAAAACATGTAAAAACTTGTAAAAATTTTAATAATAAAAGTTATATTAAAATTTGGTTTAGTGTTTACTCTTGTACTGTACATATATCATATACACACCATAACCACCATGCATTATGTATTGTCTTATATGTAATATGCATAATAATCAAAATACATTTTATTGTAGTAAAATAATAATTTTTTACTCACTGGATGGCATATAATCCAAAACATCTGTAGCAAAATATGTAACTTCTGGCAGTGTAGTTTCTATGTGTTCCTTAAAATAGTCCATTGCCATTGTTGTTAAATCAAACAATTCATCAGTAACTTTAAATGCTTGACATGGATTTGGAGTTATTTTTACATAATTCAAAATTTTGTGCACTTCATCCAATATCTAAAAAAATATAATTTTTTAAGATTTGAAAATACTACAATAAATAAGCATTTAATTTCAATAAAAACTAAACTATTTAAGGATTCATTTAATTTCACAACATTTGAAAAATTAATAATGACTTAAAAACCCAAAACTTTTCAATCTTAGTTGACAAAAACTGCTTTTAAATGCCAAATCAGATTGAAATTATCTACATAGAAAATGGAATTTATAAACGTATATTTACAAATAATCACGTTACGTTACTATATATTTTTTAAATACAGTCAAATCTCAGGTTTTGAACTTAATTCATTCCTAAAAGTTGTTCAGAAACCAGTTAGTTCTAAAACTGAAACAAATTTTCCCATAAGTAACAATGTAAAAAGGACTAATCCATTCCTATTAACCCAAAACAAAACTCCTTTTTTTTTACCATTTTAGCTATATTTCATGCATAAAATGCCTGTAAAGGCAATATAATATATATAATATTTATCTATACCTATATTTATTCTATATACTAGTATCAAAAACATTCAATTCACGACGACACAGTCATCAGAAAAACAGCACACAAATGTGCCAGTGCTGCCAGCTAAAACAAACGCACCAACAAAAAAAAATATTGGAGTAGCCCAAGATATAGCCAAAGATTACAGTGCCACAGCACTAGCGAAAATTTAAATTTGCCAACTGGAATGCTTTCGGTTAACCAATGTTAACCGAAAGCATTCCAGTCGGCAAATTCGGATAAACGACACTCTACTGCACAGGTTCTCAAACTTATTTTGACCACCGCCCACATTGAGATTAAAAAAAATCTAGTGCCCCCATATTTTTTAACTTATCTTTTTACATTACCATCTGTTGCATATCTTAAAAATAGTTATTGCAAATATGTTTAAACATGCATTATTACAGTGGTACCTCAGGTTACGAATGCCCCAGCATACGAAATTTTCAGGATACGACATGAAATTCGAACATATTTTTGCTCCACGATACGAACAAAAACTCACCATACGACGTTACATTAGTTCGCATTTTTCATTTGTTTTTCTTACTACAGTTATTTTTTT